CCTCTCCTCCTCCTGCTCCTCCTCAGTCTCTGCCCAGGTTCATGGACATTCTAGAGAGCGGCTTTGGAAGGGAGCTTCTGCCTTCCTTCCTCATTCCTGATGTGTCTGATTTTATTTCAGGGTCCAGTTCTCAGGCTGTGGTGACCCAGGAGCCATCACTGTCAGTGTCTCCAGGAGGGACAGTGATTCTCACCTGTGGCCATAACACTGGAACAGTCACCAATGATCACTATCCATCCTGGTTCCAGCAGAAGCCTGGACAAGTCCCCACAACATTAATTTATGACATAGACAAGAAAAATGGATGGACCCCGGCCCGCTTCTCAGGTTCCATTATCGGGGGCAAAGGGGCCCTGACCCTCTCAGGGGCCCAGCCCGAGGACGAGGCCGAGTACTACTGCTGGCTGGTGTACAGTGGCGTACGGCACGGTGAGAGACCCAGATGGGGAACCCGGGCATAAACCCACCCTTGGCCCCACCTGGCCTATGAATAATCTCATGGTTTGAGGGTCACATGATTGTATGCTTCAGCTCTCCAGACAGAGAGTCCCACTGAGACAAAGAGGACAGGAAGGACTCTTTAATGATTTCTACGCCCTTTGAGCCCTAAACAGGAGGAAATCACGATGAATGATTTAGGAGAAGCTTTTCCAGATAAACTAGAGCACAATTATTTTCTAATTCACAGGGAACAGTGAGATCTGGATCAGCTGAGCAGGCCGAAGTCAAACGTGTATTGGCCAGAAAGAAATGGTCCAAACTATGAATTTTGCCAGTTAAGGAAAAGGGATGGAATCATCATTTGGTATACGACTAAAGTGTATTTTTCGTCACATTGGATTTTTAAGCAGTGCCATTTTATTAAGGAAAATCTAGGAAATATGGATATTACAAAGTTTTTTTAGAAAGTTCACCTCTTATCACTTGTATACTTTTTAGAATTTAGTGGATTCCGTCATTTTTCTCAATTGTTTCCAGAATTTTCATCACAATTCATGGTTATAATTGTATCATTAGTCTAATGAAATCATTTTTAATATGATCATAAGCTATTTAATGTTTCTTGGACTGTATATCAATATATACTGGAATAGCAACTTAATTATTTTTGAACGTAAGTCCTGTTACACTTGTACAGCATTTTAAATATCATAAGTTGTACAAATAAAGGCTGTTTCTCACTTTGTGTACATAAATCTTTTCTAATATAATAAACATAACAAATTCAAGAACTGTATGTTTAATTTAGGGGGACCGTGTACCTTGAATAACCAGGACCATGGATATGAGTCTCTCATTACTGAAACCAGGAGAGTCCAACATAAAACGAATGAGTGGATCACCCTGTTGTTGAACATGACTCCATGTGATTCAATCCATTTTATATTTCCAGCACCTATGCACAAGAACGCTCCAGTCACCCTGGCAGGGTGGCTCAGTTGGTTGGAGCATCATCCCATGCACCAAAAGGTTGGGGGTTCTATTCCTGGTCAGGGCACATACTTAGGTTTTGGGTTTGAATCCCAGTCAGGACACATGCGGGACAGGGGCAACCGTCCTATGTTTCTCTCTCACGTTGATCTTTCTCTCTCTCTTTTTCTCCCTTCCTCTCTCTCTGTGATCAGTGAGCATATCCTTGGGTGAGGATAGTAAAAAAAAAACCCTGCTGAGCTCTTAAAAATGAACTTTATCAGGGCTAATACAGATTTAAAAAAAAAACAAAAACAGGCCATCAGAGTTTTGCAGGTGACAAATGAAGAAGGAAAGTCAGAACGAACACACACACACACACACACACACAAACACACACACTCACACACATGTGCGCAAAGTGGTGGACAAAAGTAGGTTTACAGTTGGAGTATACAAAACAGTTTATTCTTGTATTACTGTTTATTATTTATGTATCATTTATTTACACTACAACTATATACTTGTATTTCCAGAATAGATTCAAGAGTAAATGAGAACACACAGAATTAATCAACAACAAAAGACATTTTTTCTCTGGCAATGTTATATCTTGATGGCAAAGACACAGATAACAGGCCAACACATGTGCAGTGTGGGATGGGGAACCCAGCAAGAGGCCCTGACAACAATTATAGCAACCAAATACATCCACCGGTAAGGGTCACCCAAGTCGAATTATTGCCAGGTATGAACTAACAGGGTTCTCTGGGAAACCTTGATCCTGGATCTTGTTACAAGGTGGTTATGCACCGCTCATGAACCCCGGGGGCAAGGTGGAAGCAAACTCAGTTATGAGATAATCCTTTAATATCTGGTAACATTGCATTTCATTGTGCTGTCTGGAGATCATTAGTAACCTAGAAAAATTGGTATCTCAACTTCAAATTACATAAGGGGATCTGCTCATTCTACTGCCCTGAAAAGTGACATTAGAAAGGTCCAGCTGTAAAAATCAGAGCCCTTCCAAGAGATCTGGGCGGGGAGAAATGAACTGGAGGATGTGCCTTCTGAGACCAATGAGACCAACGAGACCAACAGAGGGTGCTGGTGGACCGGGCCTGAGAGCTCTGGGCTCTGGGCCACCCAGGCTGAGAAAAGACTGTCTACTGGCCCTGGCACACTTGGGCAGGCAGTGTCCCCACTGAAGTGTGAGTGTCCTGCACCTGGTCCCCAGGAGCCACATGAGCACTCAACTCTGACTCACACAGTTGCCTCCTGTCTCACCCTCCTACCCTTGTGGATTCAATAGTTCAGGCCAGATTTACAGGTCAAGATAGATAAGCAATCACACAACAAAATTACGTTTGCTCGATTAAACGTGACCTACAGCGCTACGTGTGCACAGGTTAGGAGACACCTCAGGAGGGATTTTCTCAATGCCAGCAATTAGGCCTCAACCAACTGAGCTCCCAGCCTTCACAAAAATGGTCCAGATTCTTTTGTTCCCCTCCTCACTCACTGAACAAAGAGTTTCCCTTCAGGAAAAGTAGGAGAGTGAAAGGTGTGGGCATTGGCACCATCTTTTGCTTCTATCACCTGGCACGGGTGGTCGTCATCCACAATTCCTGCCACTTCCTACCCCTCCTTCCAGGTCCCTCGGTCAGAGGCTGCTGGCGCTGCCATCCACAGTGCCTAAGTCTTCATTTAAATGTGTTTAAATATATATATTAAGATGAGGTCAAGTAGCCCAAGTTCATTATCTCATTCTAGCAAATCAAAGGATCCTAACCCAACAGAACAGTATTGAATTTGAAAATTAGAAGGCAATCTCATTTAAAATCATAGCTGATAGCTACCTAAGTGACTCAACATATGAATAAGAAGAATCTATGTCATATCCACAAAACATATCTTGACCAACAGAAAGGATCTGGGCTAGTTTAGGATGTATGTGCCATCTCCGGGCGATGGCTCCGATGAGGGACCTGGAATTTGGGGGACAGCAGAAGCGAAGAGGCCAAGGTCAGCCTGCAGGAGCCTGTTCTCTCAGAGGTAAAAGCACCGCCCAGAGAAAGCTCCTCCTTGAGTCAGGCTGTGTTGCTCAGGATCCACAGGGGGCGCTGCTGTCTCCTTTCCTGCATGTGAGGGTCTCCGGGGGCCCTCAGTGTATCTCCAAAATCATGACTTTCAATACTTCCTAACTCTATGGGCATTGTTTGGCCATAAATTCCCTCCCAGATCTGCCACACAGGAAACATTTATATGCCCCGTGGGGCCTGGAGAAGTCTGAGACAGTCTGTATGCGTGGACGGCTCAGAGGTCCCTCCTGCTAATATGGCACCGATGTGTTCATGATGGAATATATGTAATCAGTGCATTAGTCCCTTATCTGCCATCAAGCCAGCTATTTCCATCTTACTCTTCTGTTATTTCTCATTTTTCAGTAATTTATACTGCCTTATGGAAATAGCTGATATTGTTTGTTTTCAGCCCTCTAATTCTTTCTTTTTCTTGTGTGTTAATACTTCCCCTTATCTCAAAATTTGGTACATATAAAATTACCTAAGTTTATACACTATCAGATATATATTTTATAATATTTTAATAAACAGGAAACATACTAGCAATTGCAAAATGGATACCAAATTATATTTTTATTTCACACTCTGAGGACCACCCATTGGGTGTGTTTATCTTTCCCAGTTCCTGGGGCCATTTGATCTCCTTGCTCGTCCCTGTACATCCTGACCCCTGGCCCCCCTCATCATCCCTTAGCTCCACAGCAGGGTGAGGAGAGAAAGGAAGATTTAAAATCTTCTATCATGTTCACACCAACGGGGTCACAGGCAGTGTTGTTCCCATTTCTGATAACAAGATGCATGTTCCTCCTTTGCTATGACTGATGTTGTCAGATATCTCACAATTTCGTGGTGGCACTGTGATCTTTTATCCTTAAAACCTGTGATTACATTGAAGGGTCATACAGTTTCGGCTTCTTGTAGCAAAGGAGACTTGCCAACCCGAGCCCGGCAGTCAGGCTGAGTGTAGGCACCCTGACCCCCCGGTCCTCCCAATGCTCCTGGAGACAGGTTACAAGACATTGTCATTGGCAGAACCCTGTCCCTTTGCACACTAGACATTTGCTTCGTGACTTCCCAGGCGTCTCACGTCAGGAGGGAGAGGTGACTGCTCCGCTCCTCCTGAGAAGATGAGTGGGGACTTCCCTGAGGAAGGAAGGACTTGTACATGGGGTTGCGGTTACAACTGGGATGAATCAGATCTCTGGGGCCAACAGAAGAACCACCCCCCTGTCCCCATCTCATCGTTGGGCCCTCAGCCGTTCCACCCAGAAAACAAAGTCCTGAATGAGGCCCCTGGAATCATGATGAGGCTGATAAGGAGAAAGAGGGACTGTGTGAGGTGCCAGCATCTGCCTCTTTCAAGAAACCCCCAGGGGACATCAGGATGACACTGGGGCAGGACAAGAGAGGGGAAGCTGATTTGCATGATGCACCTCTTTTTCCTAAAGGGTCTGGGTGGCATGAAAAGGCCCCTAGGACACCACCCTCCAGCCCAGGAGCCTGAGGAGGCCGCATCCTGTGTGTCCTCGCCATGGCCTGGACGGTGCTTCTCTTCCAGCTCCTTGCCTATGGATCAGGTAAATAAAAAGGGACGCTGCATCCTTGGGTGGGACGCATAAAATTTGGAGGGTCTCAGAGTGACTTAGTCACCCATAACAACCCCTGTCTTTCTCCTGTTGGGTTTAGGTGTGGATTCTCAGACTGTGGTGACTCAGGAGCCATTGATGTCTGTGTCTCCAGGAGGGACAGTCACACTCACCTGTGGCCTTAGCTCTGGGCCAGTCTCTACCAGTAACTATCCTAACTGGTTCCAGCAGACCCCAGGCCATGCACCCCACATGGTCATCTACGACATAAACAACCGCCCCTCTGGGGTCCCTGAGCGCTTCTCGGGGTCCATCTCTGGGAACAAGGCCGCCCTCACCATCACGGGGGCCCAGCCAGAGGACGAGGGTGACTATTACTGTTCTATAGATCACGGCACTGGGGGGAGCAGCTTCGGTTATGCACAGTGGCTCAAAATGATGAGGAAGTGAGACAAAAACCCCCGGGCCCAGAGGTTCCGGCTCTGAGCCTCACTGAAGCGAGAAGCTCCTGCACAGGCCTCTGTAAGGAGACTCCTCTGCAGTCAGAAATGTCCGTGGAAGGAGGTCGAGCAGCACAGTGTGACCAGTGAGGGCGCGGGGCGTCCCAGGGTCACTTGCACTGATGGGATGATAGAGCCCGACTCCCCATCCCCACAGGGTCACAAGTAAATTTTAACAAAATAAATATTTTTAGCTAAAAATCTCATTTCCTTTAATCTGTTGTGTCTTGGTTTCTACTCACACAGAACTCTTTATTTCTGATACATCTGGTCACCAAATGTGGGGGCTCTTTCTTCAAGGCAAGTAATTCTCTGTGGCACCTGCTGGACGTCCCACAGTATAACCCCGTTCCACCACGAGCTGCCTGGAGACGGTGTCAGGTCCGCAGACGACGGGCTCTGCCCCATGGGACTGCCCGCGCTTCCGGTGCCTGTCACAAGCAGGGCGTCCCCAGTTTGGCTCACTTCTTGGCTGTAACTCAAAGGCTCCCATGGTCCCTCCTTTCGTTTCAATTAACTTGCTGACTCCACCTGAGCCCTTGTCCCTCCCCGAGGAAATGGGGAGCAGGTCTGAAAATTCCAAGCTTCTAATCGTGCCTTTGTCTCTTTAGTGACCAGTCGTCATCCAGGGGCCCACCCGGAATCACCTAGTAGAACAAATGGTTGCCTGCCACCCAGGAACTTTGACGGGTTCAGGAGTCTGTGTGAGGGTCCAGGGACCGAGACCAATATACACTCTCCATTATCTCACAATACTGTGTTTGAAACTACAAATGATGACCAAGGCAGTCATGGTCACTCATGTTAATGCCACAAACATGAACCTTGTGTTACCTCTTCAACATGCCCACAGACTCAGGACTTTCAGCCTGATGTAGGACACTGTGCCCTTAGTCACCCTCCATGACTCGTGACTCCATGACTGTCAGTAGGTTTTCCTGAGCCCACAGGCCCTGACGATCCCCCGCACCCCGTCCTCTCATACTTTCCTGGGCTCTCCAACCATCAGGATGTGGACTGGGCTGGGGGACATCAGGAGCAGGAAGTCCCCAGGATGTGCCTGTGTTTTCTCACCCCCATGCAGCTGTTGATGAACGCAGATCCCAGGTCACCTTCTCCTGCACAGGAAGCCGCAGACACATTGACAATTACCATGGCAATGTCCCCAAGGGCTCCCAGATAAAGCCCCCACATTTGTGACTTAGAAGAGCTGTGAGGAGCTGTCCAGGGGGTTGAGCCTCATTCTCCGAATTCAGTGTTGTTGCCAGAACCTCTTGACCACCTCTGGGCTCCAGCCCCCGACAGAGGCCGACTATCATTGTTACAGGGCTGAATACCAGCCCAGTGCCACAACGGTCTCCTGTTCTATGGGGACAAGTGATCGGTCTGCCCTCCACGCCCCTGCCTGGTCCATCAGTCCCCTGTCCGTGCCGATGACCAATACCAGCTCAGGATTTTGCTTTGGCTGTCACTTATTCTATTAATACAAAAGGGTTTCCATCTCTCAAAACTTTTTATCTTTATGGTGTCAATGAAAATATCTCTGTTGGGAAATAGTCCTCCCAAATCAAACAGAATTGCTTTGTTTTTAGAGCAAAAGAGCCCGACAGTGCTGAGTGGGGTCAGGAAAGGCCTTCGTGCAGCATGTAGGCCCCAGAGAACCAGGAGGCCCTTTACGCTGCCGGCAGAAGCGGTGTTCTTTCACAGGATCCTGAGAAAAGCATTTCTCAAACTCACACATGGGAGGCTGTGGGGTGACGAGATTTATTCAATAGGAGGCTGCCGCTGTGACACAGCTCTGCCTATCCTGGCATGGAAACGTTCAACTGTGGCTTCAGCAAGGCCAGAACAAAGGCCAGTATCCAGTGTTTCTGTTTCATAGTATCAGGGCCCTCCTCTGGGCCCTGATTGGCTGCCAGACCCACATGTTGCTATGGAAAGAACACGTGAATGAACTGGGTGAGCACATGTTACTATGAAAAGAGAGAGAGAAAGAGGACTCTCTTTCCTGCTTTATGCATCTCAGGCTTAGAAAGGACCGTGCCTTTTTTAAGAAGAACCAGTCAACTTCCCGAGCTTCCATGGGCTTGCTCTGGACCAAGCTTCTAGTCAATCTTGGCTTCTGTTGCACATGCCTTATAGAAGCACCTACATCCTCCAGAGAGTGCACGCCCCCCCCCCCCCAGTTCCTCAGCTGTAAGTGCTCCCTACTGGTCTCTTGCATGTTTCCTGCGTCTCCCTGGGCTTAGCCCTCCAGACTACTATACTCTCACATCCTCAGCCGAGGACCTGGCTTGGGTCCAAGGAGGGGCTTGCGCAGCATCCAGAAAGGGGAAGACTTGCATTGAGATGTCCCATTCTCAGGGTCAGGGGGACATATAAGAAAGCTGAGGGCTCAGCCCTGACTCTGGGGTCACGAAGAACAGTCTGGGGGCATCTGCACCAGCCCTGGACTCAGCTCCTCCTCATCCTCCTTGCTCACTTCACAGGTGGACCTGCAGGGAATTTGGGGAGTGCACCTGCTTGTCACCTGGGAAGGTGTCCTCTCACTCCCCTTTGGGAACAGGCTTATCTGTTCCTCGCTGATCTCTGTGTGGCTCCCTCCTTGCAGGGTCCTGGGCCGAGTCTGGGCTGATTCAGTGCCACCTTTTGTCCAGGTGTGTGGGGAAGGCGACCGCTGTTTCCTGCACCCGCTGCAGCAGCAACATTGGGGGTTACTTTGTGCGTTGGTACCAGCAGCACCGGGACAGTGTCCCCACACTGTGATCTACAGAAATAACAAAAGACCCTCTGGGGTTTATGATCAGTTCTCTGGCTCCACAGGAAGCTCCTCCAATGCTGCCTCCCTGACCATCTCTGGGCTGCAGCCGGAGGGCCAGGCCGACCACTGCCAGGCCTAGGACGACATCTGTGAGCGCACAGCACTCCAGGCCCTGGGCAGGCCAGAGGAAACCTCCCCAAAGACCTCCTTCTCCTGAGTCTGCCCTCAGCCATCCTGTCGGGGGGGGGGGGGGGTTGCTTTTCAGTCTCTCGATTGAACATTTTCTTTAAGGTTGTGGATTTATAAATTTTTAAATATTTCCTCTAATATTTCACCCCTGTCTTCATGGATGATGGCTTATATCTTTTGCAATCACTTCATGGAGCTGATTTAGTTCAGAACAGAGTTCCTGAGCCTCAAACTCTGACAACAGGGGCAGGGTCACCGCGTATGGAGGGGGCAGATCTGTGCATGTGAAATGTTCAGGAGGTTTGCACTCTACATGTCTCATGCCAGTGGCAACAGTCTCTCTACGGCCTGGCCCAACAAGTCATCTCCAGGTATTTCCCCGAGGAGGCCCAGTCACCCCAGTTTGAGAACCACTGGGTTAAAAGGAAGTGTTCTCAGCTCTCAGGCAGCCTTTGACTTTGAGTCTGGTTTACGCCAGTCAGCTGGATGGAGACTAATGTGTCATCTCTCTGTGCTTCTGTGTTCCCACGTTAGACAAAACACAGCCTCACATGAGCCTGTGACCCAGTCATGTGGACTCTCCTCTCAGTGAAAGTGCATAGTTCAGTGTTTGGCCAGACTAGGTGCACAATTAATATCTTGCAATTTTACACAACGTGCTAGAAAACACATCATCATTTATTATCTTTGGGAGTATTTCTGAAGCATGAGACACAAAGATGAATAAACACATGACAAGGTCTCCTTCCGGAGCCTGTGTTTTTGTGTGGGGCTGAGAGTGCAGGCAAGAGCAGCAGGTGGATGTGGAGTGAATTCTGAGGACAGAAGACAACCTCCATGAGCAAATGGACTGCCGAGAGCAAGGGAGTTGTTTAAACATCTGCTCCATTTCAGTTAAATAGGAGTCTGTATGCTCATCAAGTGTCATGTGATACCAAGTACTCAGCTCAAAATTCACCACAAGATTAGTGAAATTCAGAATTTAATGCTCTCAGCCAAGTTCCCACAAACAGTGGAAAAGCTCATGAAGGGAACATGAAGGGTTTGAAGTTTCTGCATGAAAAAAAGACACAATTCTGCCCTATGGCGTGGGTGGAGGAAGCCGATAAATGGTTGTCCAAGGACATGTGTGCTGGCCTGGACTTTCTTCTGCTCAAACATGTCATCCATGAACCTCACGGCTCTAAACATAGGAAGCCCTGTTCCTCCTTCACCCTCTCGATCAGGACCATGATCTATTAGCTAACCATTCAGGGGGTGACAACACACATACATTTATGTGAGAGTAGTGAGAATCCATTGCTTTCAGATGCAAGAGTTTGAGGTACGTGCTAGTGCACATATTACAGAGGGATAGAGTGTGGGGGGGTGTTTTCAGTCATGCAGAGGGTGGGCTGTCGTTATGGAGGGCAGAAGTAACCACGAGAGGACTCCTACCGTTGGTGTGGAGGGGATGATGGAGACAGGTGGTTTTGTGAACTATTCTGTATCATTTGTGTAACTTCAAAATTCGCACATTATATATGTATATATATGTAAATATATATAAATTCTCTCTTTTTATGCGTGATGGCATGCGTATGTCCTGTCATTAAGAAAAACTCGTAGTTGCCAAAAGTTGTGTTCTCTCTACATGCAATGTGAAGTTTAAGCCCATTTTTCCTCAACGGAGGAGTATTTGACTTGGATGGAGACCACAGTAAACACAGGAATCCATAGTTTTCCAGCAACACAAAAAAGCCGGGAGGTTTGCGGTCGAAGAGCAAAAGGTGGGGCTGCCAGCCGGGCGTGGCAGGGGGCAGGCATCGGAGGCTCCCAAGGGAGCAAAGGAGCTGGGGTTCCGTGCAAACAGCAGAGAGAAGTCACTGAGGGTTTTGAGAAGGGGATGACTCGCCGGAGCTGAATGAGAAAGCCCCCTTGACTACCTTGAGGCCTCAGTGCCCCAGGTGAGCAAGTGATCCTGGTCCATTTACTAGGAGTCTCTGTGCGTCTAGAGGTGT